GGAGGAAGCAGAGCCGCGCCGAGTCAACAGGAGCAAGATCGCTACATCAAGACGTTCGGGACTTAGAGTTGAAGTCGCCGAGCTGAGAAACAGGTAGCTGAGGTCCTTGAGGCATCACGCGGCTAAGTCCAGGCGCTTTGTTCTAATTCTTGTCGCGACGTGAGCTTGGCATATTGCTCGGCGAGTCCGACGGAAGTGAATAGAAAGAGTCCTTCGACCGAGAACCGTGGGCTCGAAAGGGAAGTTGTCCAGAACGAGCGGCCGTGCGAAAGCAGTTGCCATATCGAATTCCGGCGTACGCCTGAACCGACAGGCGAGAATTGTGCAGGCCCTGGTGCGACTAGCCACGAGGGACGCGCGTTTGAACCACTGGTGTCTCGAGAGGCGTATGCGTCGAGAGCACGGTAATTCACCGCCAGAGTCCTAGACAGGCAACTGACCGAATCTCGAGAGCCAAAGACCGCTGCACCTAGTCTCACTAGAGCACGCAGACCACGACGTGAGCAGAGCAAGGGCATCGAGAACACAAGGAGCGACGAGCAGCCATCGCAGGCCCAGCGGCAACCAAGCCATTCCACAACACATCCAGTCCACGGCTAAGAGGCGAGGGCGGAAGCGTTCGTCTTGAACCTAGCGTCCTGCCACAGGGACTGCATTGGCGGCCTTCCGGCGTATGCTTGAACCGTCAGGTGGAAACTGTGCAGGCGTCTGGTGCGACCGGCCGGGACAGATCCAGGGACAGGAGGCTGTGGCTGCGAAAGGCGTACGCTTTGAGAGCCCGGTGCCTGTTCACCCTAGTCTGGGAACGGTGACGCATCCCTAGACCCTCAGAAACCCCGAGGCCAAAGACAGCGGAGGCGTTTCGGAGCAGCGAGCAGCGAACGGCGAGGCAGCGGAGAGCGACGGTGGAGCGACCACAATTCTTCAAGGGAGGCGTTGAGATACCCATCTGTCACCATTAGTCCCAGGCCGAGGGATAAGTCGGCGAATAAAGATCCCAATACAAGCATCCCAACATTCTGTGCGTTCTCACTAGATAATCGGGCGGTCACGTTTATATAAATTTGGTGGGACGAACAACACACATCTTCTGAGCTAGCCGCACGAAACTCGTAGCGAGCAGACATTCAAATCAGTTCGTTACATCTGGCGCCCAAAACGTGATTGTCCGGTCGGTGAGAATCAGCAAACAAACAGAAAATGGGGAAAGGATGGATTTATCTCCTCAAGAAAGAGGATTTCGCCAAAATAGGAGCCAAGTTAGGCATCACTTTGGAGGGAAGAACGGATGACATGAGGAAAGCCCTCTCAGAGTACCTCACAAGGAAACAGGATGACCCAAGAGTAGCAGAGATCTGGGCTGAGCTGGAAGAGAAATACGGCGATAAGCCAGGCCCAACAATCAAATTGCTGAACCCTGACGCCGAGGAGCTCATAGCAAGTCTCGGAGTGGACAGCATGAGGGAAGCTGGCAGGAGTCGAAACCCAAGCCAAGAAAGAATAACAGGGCAGCAAAGGCCTAGCACTCCAGATTACGCCAAAGTCGCAAAGCAAGTGAGGGAATGGTCGTTCAAATTCGATGGCACAGAGAAGCCACTAGAATTTCTAGAGCAGGTGGAATGGTCCGCAAACACGTACGGGCTGAACCTGAACATGATCCCACGTGCAATGCCAGAGCTATTGCAAGGCAAAGCACTGAAATGGTTCATTTCAAACAACAAACAGTGGAGAACATGGGGAGAGTTCAGCGAAAGTTTCCAGACGTACTTTCTGCCGAGAGGGTTCTTCTCGAAATTGGCAGACAAGGTGAAGCAACGGAAACAGGGTTTCAGGGAACCGTTCAAAGATTACATGGTGGACATGCAGACTTTGATGAGGCCACTCGGGTATTCGCCAAAGGAGACCCTAGAAATAATCAAGGACAACTGCACACCAGACCTGAGAATCTCACTAAGAACGTACAAAGTGGATGATCTGGACACACTAATGATCCTGGCTGACGAGTACGAAGAACTGGACAAAGAGCGAGAAGAGTTCATCCACGAACACAAGTTCTCTCGAAACAAAATCGCAGCAACACCACAAACTACATGCAGGAGATGTGAAGACAGCACGGTAAACCAAACCCCGTCCTTTGGCCAGTGGACACCGGCCAATACAACACAACAAAGGCAACCAACGAACACGTTATGGAGGCCACCAAACACCACTCAGATAGCACGCAACCCAATGCCAAGAGCCACCAATACACAGACCCACGTGGTGAACCCACAGGAGGCATGTCGCCGTTGTGGAGGACACGAACACTGGGCACGAGGATGCAGAAACCAAAGACTACTGTTCTGCTGGGTGTGCGGCAAAATTGGCATCAGGAGTGTAGAGTGCTGCCAAAAGGCGGGAAATGGGCAGCGATCCCAGTCGCAGAGAGGCGCACAGGGGTCGCAAAGTGTCTCCTCTCCAAACTAACTGGCAAGTTGATCGAGGAAGAGCAGCAGTTATCCGCGTACGTTGAAATTGGAGGCGTCGCATACAAGGCCACAATTGACACGGGAGCAACGTCAAGTTTCATTAATGAGGAGCTAGCGGATAGACTGACTGACACAGGAATGATCACAAGGACAAGACGGCAAGTTAGGTTGGCAGACGGCAGATGCAGCCGGATAAGCTCACAGCTCGAAATCACGGTGAAATTTGGAAACAAACAATTGGAGATGAATCTGTTAATACTTCCAGGAGTAGTGGACGAACTAGTGCTGGGATGGAATTTCCTCACAGGAGTCGGTGCAGAAATAAAATGTGCCGGGCATGAATTGCAAATACCGGCAAGAAAACGACACAATGGATGTCTAGAAGAAAGGCTGTCGGTGGCTGTAGATTCACACTTAAGTGATGAAGAGGACATCGAGAAATTCCTCGCCAAACAGTTAGCAGATTTCAGCACCATGTCAGGAACATCTACAGTGGCCGAGCACCAAATCACCATGAAAGACGACAAGCCAATCAAGCAGAGGTATTATCCTAAGAACCCAAGAGTCCAAGGAGAAATCAACGCAAAAGTGGACGAGCTGTTACAGATGGGCTTCATAGAACATTCAAGAAGTCCATACAGCTCGCCCATCGTGATGGTGAAAAAGAAGACGGGCAAGTGGAGGCTATGTGTGGATTTCAGACAAATAAACGCGAAGTCCATAAAAGATGCCTACCCGATGCCGCGAATCAACTATATCCTGGATCAACTCAGAGAGGCGAAATATATAAGCAGTCTGGATCTGAAAGACGGATATTGGCAAGTCCCTTTGGAAGCAAATAGTCGGCAATATACGGCATTTACAGTACCCGGCAAAGGTTTATACCAATGGAAAGTAATGCCTTTCGGACTACATTCAGCATCGGCCACGTTCCAAAGGGCTCTGGATCAGGTAATCGGCCCGCAGATGTCACCATACGCGTTTGCATACCAAGATGACATCATTGTGATCGGACGCACACTGAAAGAACACGTGGAGAACCTAAAGGAAGTGTTCAGGCGCCTAAAGGAAGCAAATTTGAGAATAAACGCCGATAAATGCAAATTCTTCAAGCAAGAATTGCTTTACCTAGGACACCGCGTTACTAGCGAAGGGATAGGCACAGATCCCGAGAAGGTAGCAGCCATAGCCGAACTAGAGCCACCGTCGACAGTACGCGAACTACGGCAATACCTAGGCGTAGCCTCATGGTATCGACGATTTGTGCCAGACTTTGCGCGTATAGTTAGACCACTGAACGATCTTCTGCGCAAAGGCACAAAGTGGACATGGACGCCGGAACACCAACAGGCCTTCGAAGAGGTAAAGGCACGATTAGTAGCCGATCCAGTGCTGGCGTGCCCAGATTTTGAGAAAAAGTTCATCCTTCAGACGGACGCCAGCGACTATGGGTTAGGTGCAATCCTGACTCAAGAGACAGAGCACGGCGAAAGGGTCATTTCTTACTCAAGCCGGACACTGAACGGCGCGGAGAAAAATTACTCCACTACTGAAAAAGAGTGCTTGGCAATCGTGTGGGCAATCAGGAAGCTGAAGCCGTACTTGGAGGGCTACCATTTTAAAGTGGTTACAGACCACATGGCTTTAAAGTGGTTAAACAGCATAGAAAGCCCGTCCGGAAGGATAGCAAGATGGGCCCTGGAACTACAACAGTACGACTTCGAGGTAGCGTACAGGAAAGGACAACTGAACGTAGTAGCAGACGCCTTATCCCGACAACCGTTGCCAGAGACACTTAGGGCCATAAAAGACGCATCAGAACCTACCAATAGCTGCAGCTGGATCAGGAGTATGTTGGAGAAAATAAGAGCACAACCACAAAAATATCCAGATTATGTGATGGAAGGCGAGTCACTATATAGGCACATTCCTCACAGAGCGGGCTATGAAGATGTCGTGGCTTGGAAACTGTGCGTTCCGCAGGGTCTAAGACAAGGCGTCCTAGAAGAGAATCATGACTCCCCATCCGCTGGCCATGTTGGGAGTAGAAGAACAATAGCACGCCTGGCAGCCCGATACTACTGGCCAGGAATGCACAGAGACGCCAGGATCCACGTACGCAAGTGTGAAGTTTGCTTGAAATACAAGCCCAATCAGCTGCAGGCAGCAGGGAAAATGCTAACTCAGGTACCAGAGGAACCATGGGCAACAGTATGTGCGGACTTCGTCGGGCCACTACCTAGATCAAAGCATGGAAATCAAATAATATTGGTTTTAGTTGATCGGTTCTCTAAATGGACGGAAATTGTACCACTACGAACAGCAACGGCAGAGACCCTACAGAAGGCGTTCAGAGAACGCATAATATCAAGATTCGGGGCTCCAAAGATAGTGATAACCGACAACGGAGTACAGTTCACCAGTCGATCCTTTAAAAGATTTCTTAACGAAATGGGAATAAAACACCAATTCACGGCACCCTACACACCGCAGGAAAACCCAACAGAACGGACTAACCGTACGGTGAAGACGATGATAGCTCAATTCGCAGGAAAAGATCACAGAACTTGGGACGAGAACTGGCCAGAGATTATGCTAGCAGTGAACTCAAGCATATCTGAATCAACTGGATACTCCCCAGCGTTTCTCACACAGGGCCGGGAACCCCGTCTGCCAAACGCATTATATGACAAAGAAACGTTAGGCTCTGGGAGAAACACAGAGACACCAGATGAGAAGGCCGCCAAATTGAAAGAAATCTTCGAAATAGTAAGGCGGAACATGGAAAAAGCATCCCAGGACCAAGCCAGATACTACAATCTGAGGAGGAGGCAGTGGACGCCGGAGGTGGGCAGCATAGTATGGGCAAAAGAACACCACCTATCCAAAGCAGCCGAGGGTTTCGCAGCGAAATTAGCCCCGAGGTACGATGGTCCTTACCAGGTTGTAGATTTCGTCTCGCCGGTAATCTGCAAAATACGCCACACACATTCGAAGAAAGAGCGGACTATTCACATTAGCGAGCTTAAGCAGCAACAAGCAGAAACGGCACAAGAGCAGACGGCGGACACACCGGAGGACTAGGACAAGGGTTTCATAAGGGATCCAGACCACAAGGCAACAGGATTCAGCGTCGGGCGTTCGCCAGAGTCATCCATGATCACGCCAGGCGGAAAGGACACTTACGGATACAGCACAAGGACACGATCAACATGCAAGGAACCCAGACCGCAAGGCATCAGGATTCAACTTTGGGCAGTCGCCAGAGTCATCCATGATTACAACTCGCGGAAAGGACACTCATAAGGGATCCAGACCACAAGGCAACAGGATTCAGCGTCGGGCGTTCGCCAGAGTCATCCATGATCACGCCAGGCGGAAAGGACACTTACGGATACAGCACAAGGACACGATCAACATGCAAGGAACCCAGACCGCAAGGCATCAGGATTCAACTTTGGGCAGTCGCCAGAGTCATCCATGATTACAACTCGCGGAAAGGACACTCATAAGGGATCCAGACCACAAGGCAACAGGATTCAGCGTCGGGCGTTCGCCAGAGTCATCCATGATCACGCCAGGCGGAAAGGACACTTACGGATACAGCACAAGGACACGATCAACATGCAAGGAACCCAGACCGCAAGGCATCAGGATTCAACTTTGGGCAGTCGCCAGAGTCATCCATGATTACAACACGCGGAAAGGATACTCATAAGGGATCCAGACCACAAGGCAACAGGATTCAGCGTCGGGCATTCGCCAGAGTCATCCATGATCACGCCAGGCGGAAAGGACACTTACGGGTACAGCACAAGGACACGATCAACATGCAAGGAACCCAGACCGCAAGGCATCAGGATTCAACTTTGGGCAGCCGCCAAATCATCCGTGATTACGCCAGGCGGACACTGAATCGGGAAAACACAAGGATACCCAAAGGATACACGTAAGGACACCACAAGAACACACCAAAGGAACCCCGAGGATACCCTAAGGATTCCCTAAGGGTAACACAAGGATAATCCAAGGATACCCGTAAGGACACCACAAGGATGCCCTAAAGGCACCCAAAGGATACACTAAGGATCACTAAGAATAAAACAAGGACACCCCAAGGATACCCGTAAGGACACCACAAGGATGCCCTAAATGCACCCAAAGGATGCACCAAGGATCCCTAAGGATAACACAAGGATAGTCCAGGGTTACTGCAAGGACACCACAAGGATACCCCAAAGGATATCCAGAGGATCCCTTAAGGGAATCCCAAGGATACCTCTAGGATAAACCAAGGATACCCAAGATATATACCAAAGCTACCTGGACAACATTTGTTAAGCACGGTGAGAAGCGGCGAACCGCAGCATCCAAAGTGCTATGTGGATATGTCAAGCTAAAAGGCTTACAAGTTTTACAAAGAAAGGGGGAAGACGGCACAGCAAAGAGAACTGTGCCGTACGAGAGCAAAGGATAACGGTAACAAATAAAGAGGAGGGCACGAAACCGAGGCTTCATTCGAGGAAAGCCCTGCGACGATTAGGCATTAGGAAAACGTCAGTCAAGATGAGCAGTGTGATAACTCGAGCCGAAGCACGTAGGAGGATGGCGGCCCAGCAGGGACCCAACCCGGGGCAAGGATGGTCGGCAGCCCGGCCTACCCGAACTCCGTGGCGGTCCCTGAAACGGGCTCGCGCCGTAGAGTCTTCGCCGGAGCCCATTATCAGCTCGGACAGCGATGTCGAGATGGTGGATGACCCTGTCACAGAGCAGAGGGAGTGGCGGCTCCGCAAGGCGGCGAGGGATGGTCGCATCCCACCCGGGACGTCGGCTGTCGGGGGCCAAACCCCCGAGATCAGAAACGAGGAGGCAGCGCCATCAAGTGGCCACATCGAGGCGGTCAGCCGGGCCATGGCTCAGAAGCAGGCGGGGCCTGAGCTCCGAGATCCGACGGAGCAAGAGCGGGAGCAGGAGCCCGAAAGGAAGGCCCAACTGCACCGCCACCACGTGGAGGCGGCCATTCGGTGGCACGCCAAATTGAAGGAGGCGGAGGAGGAAGAACGGCGGATGTGGGAGGTCCCGCCAACGCCCCGATATGTGGCGGAGGAGCCTGCGGCGGAAGAGAAGGGCGAGGAGGAAGAGTGGGCACCATCTCCGCCGAGATGGTTGCCAGAGGTGCCGCCGACGCCACGGTACGAACCGATGTGGCACTTCGGCGAGGAACCGGTGAGCGGGGAAGAGGCGCCGATGGCCACGCCTCCATGGCGGCCGGAGGGGCATCGCGACGAAGACCCGGGGAACGGAGGAGAAGTGCCGAGGGCTACACCCCCATGGCGGCCAGCACGGCCACCTACCCCGCGGTACCCCCAGCCCGAGCCAAGTACGCCGGAAACTCCATTCCCCACAACGGAGGGGTCGACGACGGTGAGGACCGACGTACCGGCGGCCCACGTCAGCCACAGCACGCGGGCATTTATTGCCGAGGGTGTGCGGTGGCGGCAGCAGTCGGTAGTATGGACGTGGCCGGAGGGACCAGCGACGGAGGCAGACGGGGATAAGCCGCGTATATGGGAGGAAGAGGCCCCCCACATGAACCCGAGGGATCCCCGGAAAAGAGGCCGGCCGGACGCATGGGCCCCACCGACGCCGAGTACGGGGCCGTACGACAGGAAGGAGGCAACACACTCGGAGGAGCCATTGGAGAAAGGACCCTGGGTGTGGCCAGAACCCAAGGTCAACCACCGACCTCCTCTGCAGCGGCAGCAGTCGGAGCCAGAGGTAGCGCGCGCGAGGCCACTATTCGAGCGGCAGACGTCGGCTCCGGAGCCAGGCGGTTGGCGAGAGGTCGCCCGCGAAGAATGGCCGGAAGGCATTACGGAGGCACCGGCGGTCGCGACGGCGCAAAGGAAGGGCGGAAGGAGGTGCGTCCTGGTCACCCAAGGCGGACGGAGGTTCCGGGTGAGGGTAGGGGCAGCCGGCATCCGGGTATACGCCCAATAAATCAAAAGAAAAAAAACACAAACACACATGTAAACACAAACTTATTAATTTAAAGTCGGGGAAGTAGCTGGAAAGATGAGGGAGGGATGCATCGTCGGCAGCAGTAATCTAAAAAAAAATTAATAAGGAAATATATTAGTACACGCAGGAAAGATGAACGTTAAAACTTATGATACGTACCTGAAGCCGGGGCGAATAACAATGCCCAGCAATGAGTTTAGCTTCTTCTTTGCACTCTTCCTGTCAGGTCGCCATCTCAGCCAGAGAGAGGTTGAGCCTGGAAAGGGCATCTGAAGGGCGAAGGGAGAAAATAAAAAAGGGAAAACAAAAGAAAGCATGAAATACTCACCAAATGCAAAGAATTATGCTACATCACTTCATTACAGGGATGGGGGCGCTTCGATTTATAAGCGGTCGATTGGCACTAGACGATAGTGTCGATCGATGGGCTCAGAAAACTGGAGATGACGGCACAGGAAGGGTCACACTAAAAAAATATATCGCCACAACCGGATGGCAACGCTGCAATAATTCGAATCATCGATATCGGCTGGAAAACCGATCGGGAAAGCAGTAGTGTGACCAGACAACGAAGGAAAGGAGATGCTTAGAACGCGAAGCATATGGGGGAAACATCTTGGGCGGGACATTCAAAGGAGATGCGAAGGAGAACACGAGACGTCTATGGGGAAACATCTTGGGCGGGAAAAGGAATGGAGCATCGGCGCTGTGGAACTCAAATACGAGATGTGAGCGTCGAGGGAACCATTTGGAGGAGCAAGAAGACTCAACGGCTACAAGGATTTACAAGGAAGACAGCCGGGGAGAAGGAAGTCAAGTCTATGGGGGAAACATCTTGGGCGGGAAAAGGAATGGAGCATCGGCGCTGTGGAACTCAAATACGAGATGTGAGCGTCGAGGGAACCATTTGGAGGAGCAAGAAGACTCAACGGCTACAAGGATTTACAAGGAAGACAGCCGGAGAGAAGGAAATCAAGTCTATGGGGGAAACATCTTGGGGCGGTAAATACATAGAACGAGAAGGAGCGACGTCGAGGGAAGGAGGACCAACATCAGCGATCCAGAACAGCGGATCCAAGGAGAACTCCAAGATAACAGCCGGAGAAGAGGAGCAAGTCTCATTTCGTTCCCGAAGAAAGGGGAGAATGTGAGGAGTTAAATAACCCCTCACAAATGAATGAGAGTTTGGAGAATACAGCTGGAGAGAGTTTGGAGAAATACAGCTGGTGAGAGTTTGGAGAACACAGCTGGAGAGAGTTTGGAGAGATACAGCTGGTGAGAGTTTGGAGAACACAGCTGGTGAGAGTTTGGAGAACACAGCTGGTGATAGTTTGGAGAATACGGCTGGAGAGAGTTTGGAGAGAACGTGTAACGGTAGAAGGCGACGGACTTTGGACCGAGTATGGTGCCGTGCGCAAAAACCGAAAAGGAGAAGCCGAGAATTAACGGGATACGCCGGCCTATAAAAGCGGGCCGAGCGCAGGAAGCGGGATCAGTCGATCACAAGGAGTCAATCCAGCAAGATCAGTAGACAAGCAGTAAATCAGCGAGGAAAACAAGTCAAGTCAACATCAGGAGGAAGCAGAGCCGCGCCGAGTCAACAGGAGCAAGATCGCTACATCAAGACGTTCGGGACTTAGAGTTGAAGTCGCCGAGCTGAGAAACAGGTAGCTGAGGTCCTTGAGGCATCACGCGGCTAAGTCCAGGCGCTTTGTTCTAATTCTCGTCGCGACGTGAGCTTGGCATATTGCTCGGCGAGTCCGACGGAAGTGAATAGAAAGAGTCCTTCGACCGAGAACCGTGGGCTCGAAAGGGAAGTTGTCCAGAACGAGCGGCCGTGCGAAAGCAATTGCCATATCGAATTCCGGCGTACGCCTGAACCGACAGGCGAGAATTGTGCAGGCCCTGGTGCGACTAGCCACGAGGGACGCGCGTCTGAACCACTGGTGTCTCGAGAGGCGTATGCGTCGAGAGCACGGTAATTCACCGCCAGAGTCCTAGACAGGCAACTGACCGAATCTCGAGAGCCAAAGACCGCTGCACCTAGTCTCACTAGAGCACGC